ACACACACACACACACACACACACACACACACACACATACATACACACACACACACACACACACACACACACACACACCTGCAGGTCTGGACTTGTTGTCAGTACCAGGGGATCGTGATGTGCCATCTGCCTCCTCTTCCTCTCTAAAATATTCCATTACAATGTGTTTTGTGGATGTCTCTCACACTCACACACACACACACACACACACACACACACACACACACACACACACACACACACACACACACACACACACACACACACACACACACACACACAGTAATGAGCTCATGAGCTGTATACACTTAGATTTGGATCTTTTTAGATTTTTGTATCTAAAATTGTAAAATCTCTATCTGACTGGTTGAACTTCTTTAAAGCTCACATAAAACAGTTCAAACATGTGTTAAAAGAAAGTCAAAGGTTTCCAATGATACTAAACTTATTTGCAAGTTTTCATGCAATGTATAAAATGTTGCTTTTTTGAAACATGTTCTCCCCACACAAAGCTCAGGCATTATTCACACATTTTTTGCACCATTTTCTGTCCAATTTTCTAAGTCTCCTAAGATACCAAATCAATCAGATTGATGTTTAATGTAATTTAAACATGTTGTTTTTAAATAATGTTTCAGGGTTAGGTAAGCAGAAAGGGAAACATCAATATAGATATTGAGATGGTCTTGTGTGTTTTAACCCTTGTGTTGTGTTCAAAAGCTGTCACCGTTCATGGTGTTCACGGGTACATTTTGACCCATGATTGATCTCAGTCCAAGAAAAAAAAAAAAGACTATCATCCAATATTGTTTTAACTACATTATAACTAACTTATTATGCATTCATAACCGTACCATCCTGTTGTCATTTAATGTTATGGCCCCAAAACACATTACACCACATATTGCACACGTGCATGTGTGTGTTCAGGTTCAAGTGTTAGTGTCCATATTCTTTGAGAAAGGTCGAGTCCCCGTGGGGGGAGGGGGCCAGAGGGAGGGGAGACCAGGTGCATGTTGTGAACAATTATTGTTACAGTGGATGAAGGGGGGGGGGTGTCTAAAGTCAAAGATGAATTTTGATTGGGCCAAATTTGACCTCGAGTCACCCCCAACAATTCTGCCGGGTCTCCCCAGACCCCAACACCAAATTATACACTTATCTTTTTAGAGACCTTCAGACTTGGCTAAAATGGACAAAATCAGTTTTGTAGTGTTTATATATCTGTTGTGGAGGATATCATGAAGCCTTGTTCTGATACAACAAACTAGAGCGTAGTTATTATATCATTTGAACTTGAAACGGGTCACGGGAGACCCCAACACAACATCAGGGTTAAGTATATGAACACACAAGTGCACTAAATATCAAGAAACCCCAAAACATGATCTCTGCAGCTGCTTTTGCTTCCAAGGAGAAATAGAAAATGTTTCTATCGTGTTGTTGTTGTTGTTGTCGTTGTTGTTATGAAGGAGTCTCTACTGTCATTACTGCTGCATGGTGTCATTACCGGCTGTTAAACCTTCAAACTACAGGTCATTACAGACCGCTCTAAAAGCACCTTAAATCTCAGGCGTTTCCTTCTCTCTCCCCAACAGCTCCGTTTGAATCAGAATCAAGATCATTGCTCTACATTTTCACATCAAACAATGAATAACCTTTATGTGAAATGGTGCATTCATGAACTCAGTAAGATAAATAAAAAGGGAAAAATAAGAGCTAAAACTTGTTATAATTCAATATTTTAATAAAATAATAAATACAATTACAAAAAATATATATATATACAAAAATGTAAAGAAAATATGGCAAGTGACAGTAAAACACTTTAAGAAGTTGTAGTGTTTTGCAGATATGTACGGAATTGTCAGAGTTATGTGCAAAGCAGAGTACAGTGGCAGTGGCTCAGTCTGTAGGGGCGTGGACTGTGAGCCGTAGGGTCGCCGGTTCAATTCCCCGAACAGACCTAAATATGGAGTGTGGACTGCTACTTGGAGAGGTCCCAGTCCACCTCCTGGGCCCTGCCGTGGTGCCCTTGAGCAAGGCACCGGACAACCCCCTTTCCCCCAGCACTCCCATTGCTCCCCGGGCGCTGTACAATAGCTGCCCACTACTCCTAGTGCTAGACTCCTGGTACTAGACTCCTGGTACTAGACTCCTGGTACTAGACTCCTGGTGCTAGACTCCTGGTGCTAGACTCCTGGCGCTAGACTCCTGGTACTAGACTCCTGGTGCTAGACTCCTGGCGCTAGACTCCTGGTACTAGACTCCTGGTGCTAGACTCCTAGTACTAGACTCCTGGTACTAGACTCCTGGTGCTAGACTCCTGGTGCTAGACTCCTAGTACTAGACTCCTGGTGCTAGACTCCTGGTACTAGACTCCTGGTACTAGACTCCTAGTGCTAGACTCCTGGTACTAGACTCCTGGTGCTAGACTCCTAGTGCTAGACTCCTGGTACTAGACTCCTGGTACTAGACTCCTGGTGCTAGACTCCTGGCACTAGACTCCTGGTGCTAGACTCCTGGTACTAGACTCCTGGTACTAGACTCCTGGTACTAGACTCCTAGTGCTAGACTCCTGGTACTAGACTCCTGGTGCTAGACTCCTAGTGCTAGACTCCTGGTACTAGACTCCTGGTGCTAGACTCCTGGTACTAGACTCCTGGTGCTAGACTCCTAGTGCTAGACTCCTGGTACTAGACTCCTGGTGCTAGACTCCTGGTGCTAGACTCCTAGTGCTAGACTCCTGGTACTAGACTCCTGGTGCTAGACTCCTGGTGCTAGACTCCTGGTGCTAGACTCCTAGTGCTAGACTCCTGGTACTAGACTCCTAGTGCTAGACTCCTGGTGCTAGACTCCTGGTGCTAGACTCCTGGTACTAGACTCCTGGTGCTAGACTCCTGGTACTAGACTCCTGGTGCTAGGATGGGTTAAAGCAGAGAACACATGTCACTGTGTGCTGTGTGCTCTGCATGTGAGACCATTACAGAGGGGGTTCATCCCTCCGATTCTATTCTAATAAATTATAAATGGAGAAATAAAGAAAATACAAATAAAAAACTGAGCAAAAGAAACAGCATGTGTTGAGAGACCTGTAGGAAAAAAAGACCCTACAAAAGATACGTAACATTGATAATAGTAGAGTAAATCAAATGGTTAACATAAGATGGAGAATAAATCGACTAAATAATAAATACTTTCTGGGTGCAGCAGGTCATGAATGCTAGTGTTAGCTACTTAAGTCATTTTTTTATATTTACTACAGACGTTTATTTCTCCTTGCGCAGTTTGCCTCTTTTAGTCTAACGCGTAATCTTTTCCACCAACATTTAGTTTATTCCTTTTTTGTTGTATTGCATTAGCTCTTGCAAAACGCTCAGTATCTCGATGCCAATGTTGACATGAAGGCATCGTCTCGTGTTGTTTGGCCTTCAACAGAAATCAACCGTCACATTTGCAAGCCGAGGCTCCCGTCTGCGACTTTGCATATGAATAAAATCCTCCGATGCTAACGTTGGCTAAAAGGCGTGAGCGCGAATCGTTCTTCTTCTCTTGTCGCACGCCATCATTGTTTTCGGCTAACCGACTCTTTTGCGTGCGACGTGACGGCGGCGCCTGCGACTCTTTTCACTCGTGCACACATTTGTTTTTATGTAAAATATTATTGTGAAGGTTTAAGAGAATTAAAAGCAGAGGTTGCATGTGGGTTTGGGTTGAAAGAGAAACTCAACGTTCGTTTTTTACCGACAGATCTACGGCACGGCAACGCGTCCGATAAACAAATTAGCTTCTCGCTCCTGCGATAAAAAAATCAAGTCCCTCAAAGACTTCAGGAAAATGAGACGAACCCACAAAACGTTCTTTTATAAAGACCTGCGGATAATATTTCACTCGGGAAATGTTGCTCTGTGGTATGCAAAGGTGACGAATGAATGCACGCTCTTTGTGTTAGCACAGGTGGAAAACAGCAATACTTTTATTTTACTGTATTTTCGAACAGTCAAATTAAACATAGTAGAGTAATGAATGTATTTCTGTTTTATTTAATAACCAAGAAACGTTTGAATTTTGCCTTATTTTGATCATTTGTTTTCTAACCTAAAGCTAATACAAAATGTCCACCACATGTCAGCACGTCCTTCTTTTGTTTAAAACCAAAGTATATTCAGGTTATAAAGAAACACATTCACGAAACCAGATAATGAGTGAATGACCTACAAAAGTGACAAAAACATATGAATTTATGATAATAATGAACGTTTTATTGGATAATTTACAACGTGATTTCACTCTAATGTATTTTATACAAAAAATGCAGGAAAATATAATAATTAATAATACAAATTGTAACTAACAGAAGAACGAAAAATATGATAAATAATCGTCTTAAAAATCACCAAAGGCTTTGAGCTTCACGACAGAAACTGAAAAAAACTAATGATAAATATTTCTAAAAACATATTTAGATATTTCTGAGTAGAAAACAGGACTGGGCTTTTTTTTTAAATGTTTGCAATTACGTCATCGTGTTTGTGGTAAAATGCTGAGTCAGGCTTTAGTCTGCGGTGTAACTGCAGATCAAAACACACACACACATACACACACACACACACACACACACACACACACACACACACACACACATACACACACACACACACACACACACACACACACACACACACACACACACACACACACACACACACACACACACACACACACACACACACACACACAAAATAAGGAAAAATATGTAACTTAATAAAAACCATGCAGTTATAGAAATCTATAAAGTTAAGTTTTGTGTTTTAAAGAATAGAAGAATATGGCAAATTATAAGCATCGTCATTTATTCATGTATATATTATTCACTTTTTGTTGTTTCTTTATGTATTTATTTGCTTTAAGTCATTTTATTATTCTTTAATGCGAGGTTTTGAATGCTGTTTCTTCCACTGCTTGATATCTCAGAGTGTTAACCCCCGTGTTGTGTTCAGGGGACGACGGCAGTCCGGAGAACATGCTTCTGCACGGCCCGTTCTCCAGGAAACCCAAACGCATCCGGACGGCGTTCTCTCCGTCTCAGCTGCTGCGTCTGGAGCGAGCCTTCGAGAAAAATCACTACGTGGTCGGAGTCGAGAGGAAACAGCTGGCGAGCACACTCTGCCTCACAGAGACTCAGGTGGGTGTCATGGGAAACTGAGGGGGGGGGGGGGGGCATTATGGGCAACTGAGGAGGGCATTATGGGTAACTGAAGATTCAAGATTCAAGGCTTTTATTGTCATTTGTACAAAGCTGCAGTGTAGATATGTCAATGAACATCTGAGGTCACAGGCTCCTCCAACAGAGCAACATAATATAATAAAACATACAACATAGCTAACTGAGGAGAGGGAGGAGGGCATCATGGGTAACTGAGGAGAGGGAGGAGGGCATCATGGGTAACTGACGAGAGGGAGGAGGGCATCATGGGTAACTGAGGAGAGGGAGGAGGGCATCATGGGTAACTGAGGAGAGGGAGGAGGGCATCATGGGTAACTGAGGAGAGGGAGGAGGGCATCATGGGTAACTGAGGAGAGGGAGGAGGGCATCATGGGTAACTGAGGAGAGGGAGGAGGGCATCATGGGTAACTGAGGAGAGGGAGGAGGGCATCATGGGTAACTGAGGAGAGGGAGGAGGGCATCATGGGTAACTGACGAGAGGGAGGAGGGCATCATGGGTAACTGAGGAGAGGGAGGAGGGCATCATGGGTAACTGAGGAGAGGGAGGAGGGCATCATGGGTAACTGAGGAGAGGGAGGAGGGCATCATGGGTAACTGAGGAGAGGGTAGGAGGGCATCATGGGTAACTGAGGAGAGGGAGGAGGGCATCATGGGTAACTGAGGAGAGGGAGGAGGGCATCATGGGTAACTGAGGAGAGGGAGGAGGGCATCATGGGTAACTGAGGAGAGGGAGGAGGGCATCATGGGTAACTGAGGAGAGGGAGGAGGGCATCATGGGTAACTGAGGAGAGGGAGGAGGGCATCATGGGTAACTGAGGAGAGGGAGGAGGGCATCATGGGTAACTGAGGAGAGGGAGGAGGGCATCATGGGTAAAGTCTCAGTATATCTTCATGAGTTCATGGAATAAACTCCTGACTGTATTTGTACTCTCTGAGACACACACACTATACCTTTACTATCAATAGTTCTAATAGTTATCTTGAGTTCATGGGAGTGCAGTTCCTCTGCCGCTGCCTTGCTCAACAGCTGTCAGTCAGACTCATAGTTTTCCACGGTGACGACACAGGCGCCTGGCGGGGCTCCAGCTGACAGGAAGTTGGTTAGTCAGCGCTGATTGGGGTGTTTTTGCTGCGTTGCTTCGGAGACGCCAGTGAATCACCTGGGATCTTTATGATCTCCCTGCAGAGACATCATCCATCAATCAGGAGGGATTAGTCACTGCGTCAGCAAACCTCTGCAATCACTGACGAGCTACTTCAGCCAACAACTGTTTCAAAACTTTTATAAACAGACGTCAACTTTATTTTCACGGCAGAGTGGAAGAAAGAGTATTTAGCTTAATCCGCCGCAGAGAGGAATGAGTGCTCATAGAAGATCTATCAATAATCCTTAATGTTTGAATAACTATTTATGTAATGTTATTAATCCATTTAATGACTATAATGTTAATACTCATGTATTAATGCTTTACACAGTGTAGAACTAATTAACAAAGATTTTCATTTCATGATTTTCACCTTTTTTTTAATCTACAAATTAATCTTTAGTTTTTTTAATGATCCACCACTGGACTCCCTTTCTGTTTGTTTAGATGACGTCATATTTAACATTCAAAACACTTTTTACCCCCCGTCAAGCAATTTACAAAGCCACTACAGTAACACAACAATGTACACATTTAAAAAAGAAAATCATAATTATTGATTTAAACCATGTCAAATGCAAATACCACAAGCTTTACACATTATGAGAATCAAAACCAAAGCTTCCAAAGTAACAAGCAGTCTGACTTCAATTTGATTTCTTTCTCGGTGAGGACTAGGCTGCAGAAACACACATGAACACACATAAACACACACATATACACAATTAAACACACACAGTCATACGGGTTGATTTCAGTCTTTTAATTAACTGCAGATGGTGCGTTCAGGTGTCTTTTTTGCATTAAATGGCTTATTGATCAACAGTTAGAACTTATTTAATCAAAATGTTGCAGCTGATTTGTTGTTATTTACCTGTCCTTTATGAACTATGACTAAATGTGTGTATGATACGAATATCACCAGCTCTACACAGTATGATCATTAAAACCAAAGTTTTTAAAGTAACAAGAAGTCTGACTTCAATGTGTATTTGTTCTCAGAGCCAAACATTGAAACCCCCTAAATCTTTCCTTCTGAGTTTAAACTGTCGTTATTGAATCATAACGTCAGATATTAAGGATTCACCTGAGGGCCGAGCTGTGGTTCAGAAGCGCTGAGTGAGACCTCAGGTTGCACCATGTGTCAGACAGGACGTGTTTTAACAGACAGGACATGTTTTACCAGCTATCAGATATCACATGGAGCTTTATTGCTGTCAGTGGCTGATAGCAGAGCTAAAAGGTGACACACTACACGCTGCGTCCATGGCATGTTTTATTTCAGACTAATGGAACGGAAACATTTAAATCCACTTTCAGGAGTTTATTTTAATAACTTTGTCTATTTGTTGATCTCTCCTAAATTCACTCAAAGTTAGAAAAACATAATGCCTCATTTATAAACTTTTACCTGTATTAACACACACATGTAATGATGATTTTACCTACAGTATATAAACACGCACCTGTAGCAATGATTTTACCTGTAGGGATGATTTTACCTGTAGGGATGATTTTACCTGCATTACCTTACACACACCTGTAATCATCATTTCACTTGTTTAAACACACACCTGTAGTGAGGATTTTACCCACATTAACACACCTGTAGTTACCTGTATAAACACACACCTGTAGTGATGATTTTACCCACATTAACACACCTGTAGTTAACTATTTACCTGTATTAACACACACCAGTAGTGGTTTATTTACCTATATTAACACACATATGTAGTGGTATATTTACCTGTATAAACACACACCTGTAGTGAATATATTACCTGTATAAACACACACCTGTAGTGATGTATTAACACACACCTGTAGTGGTTTATTTACCTATATTAACACACATATGTAGTGATATATTTACCTGTATTTACACACACCCGTAGTGAATATATTACCTGTATAAACACACACCTGTAGTGATGTATTAACACACACCTGTAGTGATGTATTAACACACACCTGTAGTGATGTATTAACACACACCTGTAGTGACATATTTAACTGTATTAACACAGTAATAATTGTACCTGTATTAACACACCTGTAGTGATGTTTTAACACACACCTTAAGTGATGATTTGACCTGTATTAACACATCTGTAGTTAACTATCTACCTGTATTAACACACCTGTAGTTAACTATCTACCTGTATTAACACACCTGTAGTTAACTATCTACCTGTATTAACACACCTGTAGTTAACTATCTACCTGTATTAACACATCTGTAGTTAACTATCTACCTGTATTAACACACCTGTAGTTAACTCTCTACCTGTATTAACACACCTGTAGTTAACTATCTACCTGTATTAACACACCTGTCTCTCTCTCTCTCTCTCTCTCTCTCTCTCAGGTGAAGGTCTGGTTTCAGAACCGCAGGACGAAGCACAAGCGTCAGAAGTTGGAGGAAGAGTCTCCTGAAGCGCTGCAGAAGAGGAAGGGCAGTCAACACATCAATCGCTGGAGGGCGGCCACACACCAGCCGGGGGGCGGGGGGGAGGACGTGGACGTGCTCAGCGAGGACTAGACTGCAGACACACACACATGAACACACACATACACACACATACACACATAAACACACACACACACACACAGTCATACTGGTTAGTGTCAGATATCCAAAAGTGTGTTCAGGCGACTTTTTCAAGTTTCAAAAGCTTTTAGATCCACAGCTAGAACGAATGCAATCAAATTGTTGCAGTTAATTTTTAGTTAGTCCATTAGGTGCATAAAACATGCAGTCATTTGGCCAAAAATGTACTCCTTTAAGCCTTAACTGTTGCAGGAATGTTGGTAGAATATAACTACAACTACTGCAATGAGAAATACATTGAACTACTAACATTTGTATAAATAAAAAACAACACTTGTGGTCTAAATAATGCACCAAAATACAAAGTGTGTCACGCTGTTGATAGAGAAAGAGCGCTAAATCTCCTGACTATTTCAAATTAAATGTTGGAATTAAAGGGACAACATACTTTTGTAAAAGGCGGACCCTGAACACACCACATGCCAACCTTAGTGTGCCAGTAAGGCAAAGCAGGGAGGATGAAGATTCATATTTGATCTTGCCTCGTGAAAAAGTCTGCAGAAGGATTATCCAGGACTCAAAACGTACCTTACACAATTGGAAAGTTACCAAATCTATCTTTGTATAACAGAGGATATGACGTCCGTGTTTCAACACGCTGCTGATTCTGCACATCTGCCAACAACATGCAGGGAAACAATGATGAGTTTTTTAATCTGTATCAAATATTAATTTACAGTTTGATTATGGCTCAGCTAAAAGATGCATACTGTGTCTAAATGTCTCACTAAGACAATGTAAAACAGACAAACTGTTAAACTCTTAATTACAGTAATATTCTGACATTAAATGTACATTTTTGGATACTCTTATCAGATGAATAACACACCCACAACACACATCTACACAGAACATGCATACACATCTCACCTTCCCGAGGACTGATGGATGTCCCTGAAGGCATCACGCTCATGCAAACAGCAGGAGGTCAAAACTCTGCCACAAAGGATGGCTAAAAAAACACAAACACTGAACCTCCCTTTTGGAGATGGACTGAAGAGGATATTCAACGCTTCCGAGAGGCGAAAAATAAAAATAAATGGGAAACCAAACGCAGCTGTTGACTGTCGGTGGATTTTTTTTGGTGCCAAACGAAAAGCCAGAGTTTTCTGGAAAAAAAGAAAGGATTAAAGTGAGAGAGGAAGCTGGTTTCTGAGCGTCTGTCCGCAACAGACGGCCGCCGGCTCGCAGGATGTCTGCTCAGCTGAACAACACGTCTGAAAAGAGGAAAATATGGTTCCTCCGACAGGGAAGAAGGAACTGAAAAAGTTTTCTGTAACATTTATCTGCAACGATTTGAAATAATAATCCACCTTGAACACTGTCATGTGCCAACAAAGCATCTCGGTGTGATGTTCTTCACTTTCTCTTCTTCACAATGCAGGGCTTTCACTTTATTTGCAGCAAAATGTCACGTTTTTACACTCTGAGAATCTGTTTTACGATAAGAGCAAGGTACAACGTGGTCTTTGTCAACTTGTTAAATTGTTAAATAATCATGGAATCAACCACATTTAGCTTCTGATGAACGGGATAATTGGTCACATTTATGATATGATTATAATAACGTACATTTTCACAAAAAAACTACAGTTTTTTAGGATTTAACCAATTGTTTCTGTGTAATTTGACCACACAAAATGACGATTTGTTTTTAAATCACATGTTTTAAGTCACTTGCATGCCTCCACAGTGAACCACAGGCGAGCTGACAAAGCATCATGGGAAGTGTAGTTGCTTTACAAGTTGACAAAGACACGTTTATTCTCTTAAAGGTGGGGTAGGTAAGTTTGAGAAACCGGCTCGAGATACACTTGTTGTTATATTCCATGGAATGCTCTTAACATCCTGATAGCAATGAATATCTGAAGTGCTTTGACAACAAATCCATAAATAAAATATCATCTGTGGAAGCAGTAGTACTGTAAAAAGCACGTCCAATCATCTGAGCCGGCCCGGCTAAAGTAACTGGATGGCCTACCTGCCTGTCAGCCTTCCATCTGTGCACAAACTTATCTGGTGCCCTCATTGGTCATGTGCGCGTTCGTGTGTGTTGGAGGAGGGGCTCTGGAAGGAAGTGGCAGATTTTTTCCGGTTGTGTATTTTCAAATTCTAGCGATCTCGAGCCGGTTTCTCCAAACTTACCTACCCCACCTTTAATTGAAAAAGCAAAACATCACAGACTGAACCTACTTAACAAATGGAGTTTAATTTATGAATTTAAAAGTCACACTTCCTGTTGGAGGAACCTGATATTTCTTGTTTTCACAAAGTATTTTCTGCAGAATCACCCCAAATGGAAAAATATTTACCTCTAACATGTTTGTATAAACCTGACTATATTTAATATTGTTTTTATTGTCAACAAATCTCACGGCTCTCAGCTCCAAGCCCATTGACATCAACATTTAAAAACACTTATATATAGTTCCGTTGTTTAAAAAAAGGCTTAAAAATGTCCTAAAAAGGATGGAAATTGTGCTTTTGGGACTATTTTACGTGGCGTATCAATCCTTTTTTAAATGGGGTTTGTTGACAAGAATACAAATATGAAATCATGCATCCTTCAGGACTTATATTACATTTTTCAGGGAGGGATTTTTCAGGGAGGGATTTTTAATTCAGCGGCGTCAGAAACCAGCTTTTTATTCTACCGGTAGTTTGTTTTGGGTGTTTTTGGAAACACAAGAAAAAGTAGGTATTTATGTAAAAAAAAGTATTCTATGCATCTGATGTGTATATAATGATAATAATATTAATAATAATAATAATGTGTGGATTTTTGTTTTTCACTGTTCATCTGTTTGTTTCTTTTTCATGGACAGATTTACCTCATCATCTCCTTATGTAGCACTTCTTAGTCAAATCTATTTTTTCATCGTTTTAGGATCGAATGCACTAACTGTACGCCTCGTCTCCTTTCCTCGGAACGAAAGGGACGGAAAACGACAGAAGCTTTGTACTTCCTGTGTGGACATTTGGAAAAATATAAATAAAATGAGATTGAAATCAAACGTTATGTCTGTGTGGGTTTGAAGTCTGAAATTGTGAAGATAATATCGTTATTCTTTTATGCGAGAAATGTATATGCCTATGATCTGATGGATTCTTTGTTAAGTGAAAATTAAGACAGATTATTGATGTGAGGGAGTTTCTTTTTAATAATTGTTTTTATAAATAATATCACAGCTTTTAATTGAATTTTAATTTTGAAACGTTTAATACAAAGTTAAGTACAACCAAAAAATTCAGAGTTTATTATCCTTTTACTTATTTAATAGATTTTATTAAAGGGGACCTATCATGCAAAATGCACTTTCTGATGTCTTCTCTACATAAAGATGTGTCCCCGGTGTGTCCCCGGTGTGTCCCCGGTGTGTCCCCGGTGTGTGTGTCCCCGGTGTGTCCCCGGTGTGTCCCCGGTGTGTCCCCGGTGTGTGTGTCCCCGGTGTGTCCCCGGTGTGTCCCCGGTGTGTCCCCGGTGTGTCCCCGGTGTGTCCCCGGTGTGTGTGTGTCCGGTGTGTGTGTCCCCGGTGTGTGTCCGGTGTGTCCCCGGTGTGTCCCCGGTGTGTCCCCGGTGTGTGTGTCCCCGGTGTGTCCCCGGTGTGTCCCCGGTGTGTCCCCGGTGTGTCCCTGGTGTGTCCCCGGTGTGTGTGTCCCCGGTGTGTCCCCGGTGTGTCCCCGGTGTGTCCCCGGCGTGTCAGGGAACTCACGCAGCGTCTGAAAATAAAGCCCTCTCTCTTTTCCTCCGTACCCAAATCTCTAAAAACGGGGAACAACGGAGCTGATCCAGATTTGTGTCCGATATGACGTAATATCTGAAATGTGGACCCACGGCCCTATCAGAAACGTTGCTATCAGAAACAATGCCCGACTGTTTTGGACGTAATATGGTCGGTGTTTACATTAGCATCGCTAACACTCAGAGCTAACCTGTACTGGAGAGCATGTGTGTGAAGAAGCAGGAAATAAAAAGGAACTCACCTTGTGGTATAACCGGCAAGAGAGAAAGCCTTTGAGCTCCATACTGTTTCAGAGAGAATCCTTGATCATCCATGATATGGCGTTTCATCACGGCAGTATTTAGTTTAGACGGTAGCTGCAGGGTCCCGCATGAGCTCAGACCCCTCCTTTTTTATTTTTTATACATTTTTAAATGTTTTAAAGCTTTATAAATCAGCACTTTAGAAACAGGAAGTGAAACAGAGGGATATGAGGCATGGCTAGAATGGGTGATCTGTTTGGTATTTGGAGCAAAACACTTCATAGACATGTTTTTTATATATTTGTATATATCTGAGACCTATGCTGTTGCCTAAAAATACCATGATAGGTGACCTTTAAGTAATTATATTTGTTTAGATGTATTCATTCATTGTGTTTATTTACAATCATAATAGTTAGTAGCCATAACATTGACATTATTTCAATTGTTTGTAATTACAAGTTTTTAACTGGAAGAAACAACGAAAAACTGTTATCAGATTTTATTAATATATTTCTAAAACCAGGTGTAAATTAGTGAAATATCTCTATTAAAGTGAAACATAACTGAACCATAAACCCCCCACTTCTACCTGCTTCATGTTGGTGTTGTTGCCGTGGAAACGTGTTCATATTCACAATGAGGAGTAGCAGATGGCGTGTAGGTGCACGACTGACAGCAACAAATGATCACTCCCATTAATCTGCAGCGAGTCCAAGTGAAGCTACCGTTATTCATTTCAGTTATCAAAGATACTGAAGGAGGTTTGGAGGAGGCTAATGTATTCAGATTTATATTCATATACACTGAATAAACTGAGACGTTGACTTTAATTAAATGTATTATGTCAACAGATTTCACATAACTGCATTAGGTTAGTTGAAAGCAATAATATTAAGATGAAATAAGAAATATTGGGTCCAACTTAATGAAGCTCAGCGCAAGTTCAACCAGGAAGACCGTCTCATACTCATCCATTTACTATTTCTATGTTACTACTCTCTCTCCTCTCAATAAGTGATCGGGGGCGTCACTCCCCAGCTTAACCAATCAATTCGCTCTATTCTCACAAGCCTATCACTTGTGACTCGACGCAACCCTCCTCCACCCCTTTTCACCTCCTGTCCCTCTGAATCCAGGGTCAAGCTAAGCCCCTCCCCTTCAGACCGACCCCAACTATCCATTC